GATTGTGGAGCAACATCCCACATTATCACTGACGAGTCCAAGTTTACAAGCTTTGACGATGCATTCAAACCCAATTCACATTACATTCAGTTGGCAGATGGCACAAAGTCAAACAATGTGGCACTAAAGAGGGGTAATGTAAGTATACACATAATTGATTCCACAGGAAATGTACAGCTGTATCTTTGAAGAAAGCACTGTACATACCTTCCTATCCACAAGATATAATTTCTGTGCAAGCTGCAACCGAGAAAGGAGCAAGTGTTGAATTCCACCCACAGTCAGCAGAATTAAAGAGCACTGATGGCACAAAGTTTAACATAGAGAAACATGGTAAACTTTATTATTTACCCACCGTACCTAACAAAGACCACGAAAATGAAGAGTCTGTAAACTACACTTGTGACCTAAAGAGTTGGCATGACATACTAGGGCATTGCAACTATGAGGACATATGGAAGTTGCAACATGTCGTTGATTGTATGAAGATCAGTGGTAGCAGAACTGCCAAACCAGATTGTGAAACTTGTCTTTTGCGAACGATGACTGAAAATAGAAATAGAAATCCTGACATTCGATCAAAGAACCCTTTGGAACTTGTACACACCGATCTTGCTGGTCCTGCAGATCCTGCTTGAAAAGAAGGATTCAAATACGCTATATCCTTTACAGATGATTATTCAGGGGCTGTTTTCGTGTATTTTCTTAAGAAAAAGTGTGACACTACTGAAGCAACAAAGAAATTCATTTCTGACTCTGCCCCATATGGAAACATTAAGAGAATGAAATCCGACAATGGTGGTGAATTTATCTCCAGTGACTTCAAAACACTGATGTGTAGTAACGGTATCAAGCATGAAACCTCTGCCCCACACTCGCCTCGCCAAAATGGCACCGAGGAGCGCCATTGGAGGACACTATTTGATATGGGTAGGTGCTTACTCACAGAATCAAAATTGAATAAGATGCTTTGGGCTTATGCAGTTAAGGCAGCGGCATATATAAGGAATAGATGTTTGAATAACCGCTTAAATCAGACACCGTATTTTGCTCTTACAGGTCGTAAACCAAACTTAGCTAACATAAGGGTATTCGGGAGTGAGTGTATTGCTTATGAACACTGCAAGCAAAAATTAGATCCTAGGTGTTCAAAAAGAATTTTTTTTGGATTTGACAGCGAAAGTCCAGCGTACTTAGTGTATTTCCCAAAAAGCAATAAGGTTTTAAGGTATAGAATTGTGAAGTTCATCCAGAAGAATGTTTGTGGGCGTCCAACACAGACAACTGAGATAGAAGATTTGGGATTGCTAGTTGAAAGCAAGGGCAGTACAAGGGAGTCAGAATCAATGCATGAAAAAACTCCGAATGTACATGATGCAAGTGAGGAGATTGATGTAAGTAAAGGTTAGAGTGAGATTGTAGCATGTGAAGAATCAAATAATAGTTCACGATTAGAAAACCATTTAAGATACCCGCAACGAGTTAGAAAAGCGCCAGACTACCTGAGTGATCTTGCAAACAGTATTCAAAGTGAGAATGAGCCACCTTTAGTGTATATTGATTATTGTTATAAGATCAGCAGATTTCCCCAATCATATGCTGAGGCTATGAACTCCGCCGATGCTAAGCACTGGAAAGCAGCGATGTTAGAAGAAATGAGTACTCTTAAGAATAACGATACATTCAGTTTAACCACTTTACCAGAAGGTAGAAAAGCAGTGGGGGGTAAATGGGTATACACCATTAAAGATGTCCTAGGGAAAGCTAAGACATATAAAGCTAGATTTGTTGCAAAGGGGTATAGCCAAGTTAAGGGCATAGATTATAATGATACCTTTGCACCCACAGCAAACATGACTACTGTTTGTGTGTTAATGCAAGTGGCTGCCCAAAATGATTTGATTTTGTAACAAATGGATGTATAGACAGCATACTTAAATGCACCCATAGACTGTGAGATATTTATTGAACAAGCAGAAGGTTTTGAAACCCCTTCCCTTAACTCAGAAGAGAAATTAGTTTATAAGTTAAACAAGTCACTGTACGGTTTAAAGCAATCAGGTCGAAATTGGAATGTTGTAGAGAATGGTTTTGCTCAGAGCAAAGTAGATCACTGTCTTTATTTTAAGAGAGTTAATGAAAGCTTAGTGATTATTCTTATTTGGGTCGATGATTTGATCATTGTGGCAAACTGTGAAAAATCTATGTCAGAAACTAAACAACTGTTAATACGTAGATTCCAAATGAAACTTCTTGGTAAACTTTCATACTTTCTTGATATTGAGTTTGTTCAAGGAAGAGGGTATGTTAAGATGAGTCAGAGAGATTACATTGTAAGGTTGTTAGAGAGGTTTGGCATGGGTGAATGTAAACCTAGACACACACCATCAGAGCAAAAGATGGAATTTACCGGGGAGAGCTTTGAGTGTGTAAGGGAATATCGTGAGTTGATTGGTAGTTTGATCTATGCAATGACATGTACACGACCAGACATATGTTGGACGATTACCGTCCTATCTCAATATTTGGCTAAACCACTTAAGGAGCATTGGGTTGCCGCCAAGAATGTTCTGCGTTACTTGAAAGGTTCGTTAGATTATGAGATATGCTATCGAATGGGATATCAGAATTTGAAGTTGATTGGTTATAGTGATGCTGATTGGGCTAGTTGTGCTGTTGATAGAAGAAGTGTTAGTGGATATTGTTTTAGTTTGTCAAAGGAAGGGCCTCTAATTTCATGGAAATCAAAGAAGCAGCAAACCATTGCGTTATCCTCTTGTGAATCAGAATATGTTGCGTTATCACTTGCTGTTCAAGAGGCATTGCATTTGAGCATTTGGTCCAGTTGTTGGGCAAACTGATTGAGTTAGAAGACCCAGTCGAAAATTACGAAGACAACCAAGGAACAATAGCATTATCCAAGGATCCAGTTAGTAGACAAAGAACAAAGCATATTGATGTAAAATACCACTTCATTCGTTCGAATATTAATGCAGGAAATGTTGTGGTAAATTATTGTCCTACTAATGATATGGTAGCTGACATCTTCACTAAGCCAGTTACTCGTAACAAGTTAATGAACTTCAAAGAATTCATCTTTGGAAAATGAACTAATGCCATTTATTATCATTTAAAGGAAAGCTATACTCAAGAACACTTATATAAACATTTATATAAATTTTTATGTTATGTTGATCGCGAAGAAATTCCAAAGAAACTTTATGAAGTTATGAGATCAAGTGGGGGTGTTGGAGTCTGATCTCAAACTTTCTGAACTATTATGTAAATTCTAATTAATTAATTATTCCATGTGCTTCTTCTACTGCCTACTCTGTTACATGGCGTATATTAAACTGTTGTTATATTGAATCGCTTTTATTATCCTCCATCATGTCAAGAGACGCACCGTCAACAGTAGGATCATCAATAATTGCCACAATGATGAAATCATCGACCCAAATAAGAATAATCACTAAGCTTTCATTAACTCTCTTAAAATAAAGACAGTGATCTACTTTGCTCTGAGTAAAACCATTCTCTACGAGATGTGTATGTAATACAACATTCCAATTTCGACCTGATTGCTTTAAACCGTACAGTGACTTGTTTAACTTATAAACTAATTTCTCTTCTGAGTTAAGGGAAGGGGTTTCAAAACCTTCTGCTTGTTCAATAAATATCTCACAGTCTATGGGTGCATTTAAGTATGCTGTCTTTACATCCATTTGTTGCAAAATCAAATCATTTTGGGCAGCCACTTGCATTAACACACGAACAGTAGTCATGTTTGCTGTAGGTGCAAAGGTATCATTATAATCTATGCCCTTAACTTGGCTATACCCCTTTGCAACAAATCTAGCTTTATATGTCTTAGCTTTCCCTGGGACATCTTTAATGGTGTATACCCATTTACCCCCCACTGCTTTTCTACCTTCTGGTAAAGTGGTTAAGCTGAATGTATCGTTATTCTTAAGAGAACTCATTTCTTCTAACATCACTGCTTTCCAATGCTTAGCATCGGCGGAGTTCATAGCCTCAGCATATGATTGGGGAAATCTGCTGATCTTATAACAATAATCAATATACACTAAAGGTGGCTCATTCTCACTTTGAATACTGTTTGCAAGATCACTCAGGTAGTCTGGCGCTTTTCTAACTCGTTGCGGGTATCTTAAATGGTTTTCTAATCGTGAACTATTATTTGATTCTTCACATGCTACAATCTCACTCTCACCTTTACTTACATCAATCTCCTCACTTGCATCATGTACATTCGGAGTTTTTTCATGCATTGATTCTGACTCCCTTGTACTGTTCTTGCTTTCAACTGGCAATCCCAAATCTTCTATCTCAGTTGTCTGTGTTTGACGCCCACAAACATTCTTCTGGACGAACTTCACAATTCTATACCTTAAAACCTTATTGCTTTTTGGGAAATACACTAAGTACGCTGGACTTTCGCTGTCAAATCCAACAAAAATTCCTTTTGAACACCTAGGATCTAATTTTTGCTTGCAGTGTTCATAAGCAAAACACTCACTCCCGAATACCCTCATGTTAGCCAAGTTTGGTTTACGACCTGTAAGAGCAAAATACGGTGTCTGATTTAAGCGGTTATTCAAACATCTATTCCTTATATATGCAGCTGCCTTAACTGCATAAGGGCAAAGCATCTTATTCAATTTTGATTCTGTGAGTAAGCACCTACCCATATCAAATAGTGTCCTCCAATGGCGCTCCGCAGTGCCATTTTGGCGAGGCGAGTGTGGGGCAGAGGTTTCATGCTTGATACCGTTACTACGCATCAGTGTTTTGAAATCACTGGAGATAAATTCACCACCATTGTCGGATTTCATTCTCTTAATGTTTCCATATGGGGCAGAGTCAGAAATGAATTTCTTTGTTGCTTCAGTAGTGTCACACTTTTTCTTAAGAAAATACACGAAAACAGCCCCTGAATAATCATCTGTAAAGGATATAGCGTATTTGAATCCTTCTTTTCAAGCAGGATCTGCAGGACCAGCAAGATCGGTGTGTACAAGTTCCAAAGGGTTCTTTGATCGAATGTCAGGATTTCTATTTCTATTATGAGTCATCTTTCGCAAAAGACAAGTTTCACAATCTGGTTTGGCAGTTCTGCTACCACTGATCTTCATACCATCAACGACATGTTGCAACTTCCATATGTCCTCACAGTTGCAATGCTCTAGTACGTTATACCAACTGTTTAGGTCACAAGTGTAGTTTACAGACTCTTCATTTTCGTGGTCTTTGTTAGGTACGGTGGGTAAATAATAAAGTTTACCATGTTTCTCTATGTTAAACTTTGTGCCATCAGTGCTCTTTAATTCTGCTGACTGTGGGTGGAATTCAACACTTGCTCCTTTCTCGGTTGCAGCTTGCACAGAAAATATATCTTGTGGATAGGAAGGTATGTACAGTGCTTTCTTCAAAGATACAGCTGTACATTTCCCTGTGGAATCAATTATGTGTATACTTACATTACCCCTCTTTAGTGCCACATTGTTTGACTTTGTGCCATCTGTTAACTGAATGTAATGTGAATTGGGTTTGAATGCATCGTCAAAGCTTGTAAACTTGGACTCGTCAGTGATAATATGGGATGTTGCTCCACAATCAACCAATAACATATTATTCCCAAAATTGACCTCCGTCCCAATGTGTTCGGAACACGAAGAATAATCACTATCACAACTTGGTTTCATAAACAATTTTTATTATTACTTCTTAAAGTATCTCGCTTCCCTCGCTTGTCTCCTTCGTCTCCCTTGTGTCACTTCTCACTTCCGTTCTCTGCTCTCTCTACTTCCGTTCCACTCATGTTTTCTATATTGTTCTTTATCGTCCCCAACGTACCCGAATGTACAATTAAACCCAACACAACTGTAACATAATTTGCAACACTCTTCCCCACATGTGACTACGAATGAGTCACATGTTATATCACTTTGTCTCGAAGTTTATTTCATTCCTGTTCCATTAGCTCCTGATTTATCGCCTCCGCATCCACAGCAGCTTGTCGTCTTGGTCTGAATTCTTCGGCGTTCACTCGCAACTTCTTTTGATGGTTGCTGACGTCGCATTGTAATTCTAAAGGATAGATCAGTTGGATTGGTCTCTCAAGAGATATTTTTCCACACTGAAGTTTGACTCCTCTCACAACTCCATCCCTTCCACGGATCAACATCGTTACCTTTCCGATCTTCCACATATTTCTGTTTTTCTCATCACCCTTAATTAAAACGATATCTCCCTCTTTCGGATGAGATTCGGTTGCTGATTTGTTAACTTGATTGCGTTGGCGTAGACTTGTTAAATATTCTCGCTGCCATCTGTTCCACAATTGGGTTTTGATTTTGTGCAAATACTTTGCTCGCTTCCGTAATTCACCGTCCTTAATGTGATGACTCTCCACCTCAGGGATGACATTCGTCTGTTGCAGTACGAACGAAGATGGCGTCAGTACGGGGAGTTCAACATCATCCTCTACATAGCTCAATGGTCGATTGTTCATACAAATTTCTACGTCCAGAACAACTTCTGCCAGTTCATCGAATTTCAGAAGTCCTTTACCAACGACTTTGTAAAATGATGATTTGAATACACCGATCAATCGCTCAAATTGGCCTCCCCACCTGGGTGCGCGGGACAGATTGAATCTCCATTTAATGCTATGTTTACTGAGCGCGCTGTGAAACCTCTCGTCTTGCATTGCTCTCTTTAACCATGCTGCTGCAGCTTGGAACGTTTTTGCATTGTCCGAATAGATCAGCGAAGGACGACCTCGCCTTGCTATGAGCCGTTTTAGACTTTGCAGGAAAGAAGTTGTCTCAAGACTCTTCAACAATTCAAGATATACTCCTCGCGTCAAACTACAGGAAAAGAGCACTAGATAGGCTTTTCCTTCTTGATTTTTCTTGACTTTATACTTAATCGGACCGGCGAAATCGACACCAATGACTTTATACGGTGTGGTTCCTTCTGTTCGAGTCTTTGGTAAAGGAGCAGGTATTGGAGCTTGATACGGTTTGGTCGTGAATCTCTTGCATCTGTAGCATCTCTTCCTTTGCTTTTTGACTAATCGACGAAGCCGAGGAACCCAATACCTTTCTCGGACCTTTGCCATCGTAAGTATAACTCACTTATGGAGTGTTTCGAAGTGTGCATCTTCCACTAACTTCACAGTGAATAGAGCGTCATCAGGCAAGTAAATAGGGAACTCTCCTTGTATCCGACCGTGACATCTTAAAATCTCGTCATCGTCGGGTTGTACATTTAACTGAATCAGATCCGTTTGAGACTTTGGGTTTTCTGCGACTCCGGCTTGAACCATTTTTATCCATGACATGTGTTGCTCTTCCACTTCTTCAGATGTCAGTGGCCCGTGCCTTCTATTATTTCTGTTTTGTCGAGCTTTATCAATAAATCGTTTCACCCACGCCCCAATACGAATCGCCTTCCGCAATGGATGTTTTCCAAAGAATATCACTGAATATTGCCAAGTCTGACCGCTGGATAGCCGTGCTCAAAACTACTCTCGTCGCCTTTGCTTCACTTTGGGAGTCAGTCGACGGTTTGACTATAAGATCTGGTGGCCAAAGACTACGCTCTGATAGCCAGGCAGGACCTTTCATCCACATCTCGGTCAGTTTGCCACCTCTGCTTCCGAGGTCGGCCGGATTGTCGGTTGTTGGCACATGATGCCACACGATCTCATTAGAAGCTCGGATTTTTGCCACTCGATGCGACACGAATTGTTTATAATCACCCTCTCCTTTAATCCACCATAAAGCTACAGTACTATCTGACCAGCAGTGTTTTCTGTGTGGAATGTGTCTCAGCGCATTGCTAGCATTCGAGACCAAATTTGCGGCCATATGACTTGCAACAAGCTCTAACCTCGGGATAGTCAGTCCTCTCTTGGCAAGTCTTGATTTCGCTGCCAGTAATTCCTGAGTAACTCCAGATGGTTGTTTAGCGACTGTGTAGACGACTGCGCACAAACCTTCACCACTGGCATCCCCAAATCCATGAATCTCTAAGCTACAGACGGGTTCTTGGAACGAAAGGACCGCTCTTGGCACGGTCACTTCGTTTGGTAAGGTTTTTTCCCACTTCTCCCAGCTCTGCTTCAATTTACCAATTAATTCCGCGTCCCAAGGTAATTTCAGGTCACACACCTCTCGATAGATTTGTTTGCCTTGCAAAAGCAGAGGGGATGCAATTCCCATTGGATCATAAATCTTCGCCAGTCGACTTAAAATGTTGCGCTTCGTTGGCGATTTCCCACAATGTCCTATTTGTACACTTAACGTATCTTTCTCTTTATTCCAAGTTGTACCCAGGATCTTCGTCTCAGTTGGCTGCACCCCAAATTGTTGTTTGGACGCTGTTTGCTCTTCATGATTTTTGTTAACACTACCTTCATCCAACTCCTTTGCATTTGATGCCCACTTATGAAGGGTAAAGGTTGCATCACCCAGAATGTCAATAGCTTCCAATTTCCTTTTTCGTTCTTCATCCACAGTGCATCCTCCTGAAATGATGTCATCAACGTACAGACACCTTCTCAGAGCCTCAACTGCGTCTGGAGCTTTGCTTTTCCAGTGATCCAAATGTGTTTCGAGAACTCCCCCAAGTAGGAATGGAGAAGAAACCAATCCAAACAATACTCTCGTGAACCGTAGTACTTCTACATCAGCTTGTGGATTTGGTCGCCAGTGAAATCGTAAAGAATCCCATTCACTTTCGCGTACTCGAATTTGGAGAAATGCCTTTTGAATATCCCCAGTGATTGCAACAGGAAAACTTCGCGCTCTTACCAGCACTTCCCACAGCTTGTTATTTAGCGAAGGTCCCGCGTACAGGCATTCGTTTAAAGAAGGACTTTCTGGTGAAGCTTTTGCTGATGCATCGTACACCACTCTCAGTTTAGTGGACTGCGCTGACTCGCGTACGACTTCTTTGTGAGGTATGTAGAATTCATTACCTTTCGCTACGTTATTTGCTGGTTCAACTATGCCATTGTGCTTTTGGTCTTGGATTACTGCGTTGTAATCTTCAGTTAATTTCTTTCGCTGTAATCGTCGCTCTAAAGATTCCAACCTTCTGATGCTTCCTGTTTTGTTTGATGGGAGAGGTGGATGATTTCCACGCCGGTCTCGTACCAGCCCTCCGGTGATCGCGTTAATTGCTCTTTGAATTCGTTATACACCATTGATTGGTCGTGTTCAGCAGTGTCTGCTAGACCCAGCACATCCAACCTGCAGAGATCTTCATAATCCTTCTGCGAAACTTGGGTAAGCAACATCCTTTTACTGTTTGGTTCCACACCAGGGCTCATGGCAAACCATCCAAGTTTTGTTTTTTCTGCAATTGGTTGCCCTTCAGTTCCCACTAGTGGATTCGTGCGAGTTTTTATCCGTGCATATTCCCCGCTTCCCAAAACGATATGGACAGGTAATTGAGCTTTCTGATCATTATCAACAAATTTTGCAATCTTCAGGTGTTCAAACTCTCTTTGTAAGTTTTCATAGTGTGGATTGTCCACTGTGAGTAGCACTTCTTTCTCCACCTTGATCAACTTCACCTTCATTGAATAATCACTGTCTATTGCTTCAACTTCCCCTTCATAGATTTCCAGTCTTGTTGTTTTTGATGTTAGAAGCATGTCAACTTTAGTGGTTTGTGTCTCAATTGGTTTCACCCTCAGCATAGATGCAAGTTTACCAGATATGTATGAGCTTCCAGCCCCTGAGTCGATCAATGCACGACATGTAATTCCATTTATCTTGACAACAAGAATGGGGAAAATTCCTTCACCAGTACATCCATCTGTAGTCAACACAGTCTGACCTGTTTTTGGTGTTTCTTCTCGATTGGTGACATCACATATGCTCGTATGGTGTCGTTTGTGGCAATTTCTACATGATGACTTGCTGGGGCAAGCGTTAGCATGATGCTGTCCTGCTGTGCAGTTGAAACAAAGTTTCTTTTGACTAAAATTGCTCTTCTCTCCTTGACAGTACTGATTACTTTACATTCCCCGATTTATGATTTCCTTCACAGTAGACGCACATCCCCTTTTCTTTAGTATGAAAGACTTTCTCTGACCTTCTAGATCTCCATCCAGGTGTGTCTGACTCTTTCTCGCAGACTGGATTTCGCCTGGTCCACTGTCTGACTGCTTCAGTAAGCTTGGAAAAGTCACAACTTTCCCATTCTGGATCATTTTTAACAAGGTCCCCACGTATGGCTGGGAGTTTGCCAAGAGTCATGGAAACATTTCCTTGGACATCTTTCAGTTTACCCAGCGTTTCCAAAGCTTGGACACTGTGATTTAACTTCGCACTAAATTCGGCAATCTTTCTCGGGTTTGCTCCGTAGATATGAGGCAAGTCCATGATCTCTTTTATGTAAGCTTTTATAATTTCCGAATTCTTCCCATACTGATCTTTTAAATTTGACTTCGCTCTATTGTATCCTTCGGTGGCAAGCGGTAATGATTCTACTCGTCGCTTAACTTTGGGCCCAAGGAAACCACACAGATATGTGAATTTGTTGATGGCAGCTATATTTGACTTGTCCACCGTCTCCGTAAATTGCCCCCAAAATCTGGGCCAATCCATGTATTCCCCCTCAAATTTCGTAATATTTATCTTTGGTAATCTCACCGACATACCTTCATCACTTATTTTTGAGTCCCCAGACTTTGAATTTTGAATTTTTGCACTTACTTGAGCCTTTGTTTCTTGAAGCTTTACTTCAAATTTGAGTTGCTCCTCGCGAGCGTGATTTTCCTCTTCTAATTTCTTATTGTTCAGCCAGTGTTGTAGCTTGTTTATTTCGTCTTCGGCTTCGCTTATTTTTGTTTCGATTTCCGCATTCCAATCGCTGATTTCTTCAAGGTCGTCTTCTCTTTCGATTTTCGCTGCTTCTACAGGTCTTTTAAAATTGTCAGCTTCGTTTATAGTTGTTTTGAGTGCGTTCAGTTGTCGTTCGATAGTTTCTCGCTTTCCCGAATCTAATATTTTAGCTGTTCTTTGAGCAGATAACTTTAGTTGAGTTAATTTTATGTTGAGTTTTGCTTCGTCGTTTGCCATGTTTGTATGGCACGTGTAATATCTCGTACGAAATTTTCACAATTTATCACAATAACAATCCTTCGTCGGTAGGTGCCACGTATTCCGAAAATTGACCTCCGTCCCAATGTGTTCGGAAAACGAAGAATAATCACTATCACAACTTGGTTTCATAAACAATTTTTATTATTACTTCTTAAAGTATCTCGCTTCCCTCGCTTGTCTCCTTCGTCTCCCTTGTCTCACTTCTCACTTCCGTTCTCTGCTCTCTCTACTTCCGTTCCACTCATGTTTTCTATATTGTTCTTTATCGTCCCCAACGTACCCGAATGTACAATTAAACCCAACACAACTTTAACATAATTTGCAACAATATCTTGAAATCTCTTATCTTTAACATTTTGTTCTACTTTAACTTGGAATGCAAAGGAATGCTCTTTATCAAAATTTGATGTCAGTTTTACCTCATCTTTTGTCTTTTCTCTCATTCTCTTCTTTTGACATATACTTTCATCATGGGTTGAACTTTGACATGTTTTGCACCACATCTTTTTCGGTTTTTCTTTGTTTGGGCACTGTCTAGCGAAATGTCCCGGTTTTCCACATGAGTAGCACTTTTTTTTCTCTTTTCCGTGATTATCATGATTGAATTTCTTGGTATCAAACTTGAAGATCGAATCTTCACCACAATGATCGCCTCGGGCTCGTTCACTTTCTTCAAAACTACGTAACGCTTGCTTAAATTCACTAAATGATTGTTTATTCTCGCTATGGGTAACAAACACAGAGAAAGGTTTGAACGATTCTGGAAGTCCCTTTAGTACCATGGCTATGAATAATCCATCGCTCACAATTTCACCCGCATTCTTTAAGGCTGTTGCAGCTGTCTCAGCTCGTATTAAATAATCGGTGACAGTTTCATTTGCTGATTTCATCAAAGATGTTAATTGTGTGTACAGTGATATAATTCTTGGTTTGCTCGTCCCCGCCGTAATGTCCTTTTAATATTTTTAAACCTTTTCTACCATCATCGACGGCATCTCTCATAATTAACGATAGACGTTTATCATCGAGAAACTGGATCAACTCGGCAAATGCCTCTGCATTTTTATCTCCGTCTATATCTTCGTCTTCGTCGGCAGTAATTACTTTGTGCAACTTTTGTAAACGCATATATCCGAGGAATTTAATCTCCCATTGCTCATATTTTTGTTCATCTCCATCAAAAAATAGTCGCCCATATCTTCCAAGAACTTCTTTCCTGGGCCCATAACCTGTTGACGGTGCGTCTCTTGACATGATGGAGGATAATAAAAGCTATTCAATATAACAACAGTTTAATATACGCCATGTTACAGAGTAGGCAGTAGAAAAAGCACATGGAATAAATAATTAATTAGAATTTACATAACAGTGCAGGAAGTTTGAGATCAGACTCCAACACCTACTTCACCTGAAGGTGTTCAGCAAGAACGACGTATGAAGTTACTGTCGTTATTTAACAATATAGCCCTTGATAAAGGGTTGGATGGTCAAAATTATAAATGTCATGGTTGTTCCAGACCAATTGGAATGAGTATGATGAATGAATTCTCGACTTGTTATTTCCTAATAACTCAAATATCTTTATTTTCAAATTTCTTAGCTTAATAAACGTTATCTTTGTAGAAACTATTATAACAAAGTACATAATCCCTTTTTTCCGTGAAGCCCATGGATGCGATCGTTCATGATGAAAGAGTCATATTGTATAAGGAGGCTCTCGTTCATCACGAGAGAGTTATGAGAATAATACGTTGTAAAAGGTAATAAGTAAAAAACGTATAAACATGCTTAGTGTTTGTTTAAGTTATAGTTCAAAAAGGCAGAAGTTGTTTGAACCTTTGAAGTATCCTTGGACGTTCTAGTTTTTTTTATGAGATGAGTTCTTGTAAAGAAAAAGACAAATTTTGAAAACCAAAGAATCCCGTTTTCGGTCCATGCTTCCCGATACCCCGAGATAGTTGATCACTAGAGCGGACCACATAATCCTTGTTTGTTTTCCATGAAACATATGGATGGTTTGCTCGTGATACATGAGAAACAGTAAATGGGAGATTTAAATCAGAAAGATATAAACCGATAAAATTGGTATAAAACATGCTTAAGGTTGTCTTTAATTATAAGTGTCAGAAAAAGACAGGGTCATAAGAACTTAATTGAAACATTGCTTTGTTTGTTTTATGAGAAGAAATCAAAACCTTAAAATTCGAAAGCAAAAAACACCGTTTTCGGTCCATGCTTCCCGATACCTTCTTAAGCGCAAGGCACTAGAACGCCGCATGTTAACGTTTCGTTGGGAGATTTCGGCCCCTCCACGCTATCCTACTTGGCAGATGCAAATAGCAAGGTTCCGCCCATCAGACCCTGAGATCACCTGCGATAGGCTTTGCTCAGGGTACGCAGGGAGAGTGCGGTCGCCAACGAAGTGAGGGCTCCCAAGCCACTGCATACTATATGCACCCAGCTTCCACTGCTAGTTGACATCTACTATATGAAGTTTTTGCTTTATATATATATACCAAAATTTAAAGGCGTACGAAAGTTGTGGGATGATTTTTATCGTTACTGCGCATGCCCAGATGATTTCTTTGATGCTATTGACTTCTAAATTGGTGCTAGTAGATGCAGTTGGTCGTTGCCATGACCATGAACTTGGGTAGCTGGTCAAGTTGACTGTGCATGCTCAATGAGACTGCGCATTCGCAGATGATTTGTCTTAAAACTTGTGACTGAGCGACCTAATTACTTCAAAATCGGTACTAGTACATCCAGTTGTTCGTTAACATGAGCTTGCAGAGTTTGTGGAGTTGACAACGCATTCCTAGATTCTCAATTAATTTGTGACAGAGTGAGCTCTGAAATTGGTGCTTGTAGATGCGCTGAGCAAGTTTTCCATCATATATTTTTGATATGCTCTTTGTCTACTTAAGCTTGTTTTTACCAATGCATGTGAAACTCGTCAACACTTTGTTACGGCATTCGCAATATCCGTGACGACGTTAAAAATGTTTTTTATTCACTCTTAAATCTTCTGCCTTTATAATTAGTCGATATGTATTTCTAAACTAATATTTACAAATGCTCCAAGAGAATCTTTTTATTTTATTGGCTCTTTTCTACAAATAAAATACCATGTCCGACTATTTGATTGCACGAATTTTGTAATTTGATCACGTTTTTTTGACACGTGTGTTTACCATGGGAAAGATGGATTGCTTAAATGTACCTAGTTGTTTAGACTAGTTTGATCCATTGTTATCCTGTAATGTATACTCTTGTGAAATACCAATGAGCATACGTAGTGTGTCTTCTATAACCTCTATTCTTGTTCTCCACTTCATCATCTATCCATATTTGTTCGTTTTTAGTTCTCAGCTCAACACAACCCTTGTCTGAACTTCCTAAAACCTTGATCTACCCAAGAAAGATCTCTGGTGGTAACATGTTAGGTATGGCTAGTGGTTGGTCATCGTCATTGAACCTTGTGACACTAGTTCCAGGGGTGGATCCAGCTTCTGGGCTGACCGTGGCCCGTTGACGTAGCTAGCGCCTTCGGCGCGAGCCAACGCTAGGGGGGTGTGGGGGCATGCTCCCCAAGAAAGTTTTGAAATCTAGACTCTCGGAAAAGCGAATTCTGGCCTTTTTTATGTAGAATATAACAATATTTTAGTTATAATCTCATCTAAAAATAATTCTAATATCGCCATTTTTTTAATTCTGTTCGGATAGAAGAATAAAAATTTTACTTACCTTGTGGTGTCTGCTGTAAAATCAACGCAGTTTCCGTACCTTTCTGTAACAGGATTGTTACAGAAAGGTCTTAAGCATAACTTACAGCGTCTCTTGACATGTAAGTTATGTTAACGTTAACATGTAAGTTATGTTTCGCTGTTAAGTCATATTAAAGACATATCGTTCGACGTTTTTGAACTATAACTTAACAGCATCACTTAAGTAACAATCTGATGAACGCATAACTTACAGCATAACTTACAGCGTCTCTTGACATGATGCAGCACAACGAACGATATGGACATAGTCAATTGCACTCCCATCAACAAAATCTCTTGGATATATTGTACAATTGAATATTTTAGCCAAGGAATACCAATTTCCTTTCACTTCAGCATCATTAGTAATTGGGTAGTATGACTGAATAGCACACTGGATTACTCAGGACAAAGCAAACATACACATCAAGGGTGAAAAGGTGTAATTATTCGCTGTTTCCACTGCTTCTTGTAAAACAGCTGCAATTTCATTCGCATTTTCTAAAGAGGTTAGAGCTGCATCGGATATACACATGGCAAAGGCATTTTTTAAGTGAAGTGAACACACCATTTTTATGCTGGTACTCGATGAGAGGATGGGTAGAATAGTATTTTGCATTCTCAAACATTTCAACACTAATTAGGAATCTCAAGTAAATAGAGAGAGTCTCATTCCCAACTAATGCAATAGAACATGCATTGAACAGACAATTCCCATTGGCTAAAATACTAAAAGAAAAATTAGTATTTAAGTATCAATGGCTGCTTTGTTATACCAAGTTATACCTGGAAACAAATCTGCTAGACTGACTCTGACATTAGAATAAATAAGGGTAACCAATACTGTTAAAGATAGACTAATAATATTGAAATTGAGAAAGTTATTTTCTCTTTGTGTTAATTTGGTAACATCATGATAAAGTCAAAGTCACAGGCAGGTAGTCTAAGATTTGGAACTAGTCTAGGCATGTCGAACAGGATTCAGACGGTTTATTATTCCATCTACTATAGCATCAATATTCTATATAAATCGCGAAAGAAAGTAACAGTTATTCAAAATGATATGTTAGTTTCTTTAATCAGGGGATAACATAAAATGCCAGGAATACAAGGATAATACATTATTGATTAGGTTAACTTTAAAAAGGACTAGCTTTGACTAATATTGAAGTAAAACATTTTTTTTAACAGACAGTAACAATTAAAATT